CCTCTTTGTCCACTTTATTACACTTTTGTTACTCTATTGTTGCTGTCTTGGTGGGGGCACTGAGTTGGAGAGTACCATTCCTAAACCAGGGCAGCACCTCAGCTCGTGAGCTCCCCCCTACCTGAGCATTTCTGTCCAGTCTGGATCCAGGGAATCCAGCTACTGAACACTTACCACCTGTTGTTCCCAGCACCTGGGCTTTTGGTGCAACCACCTACAACAGGAAAGAGAATCTGAAGATATCAACCCTTCCAAATTCTGCAGGCTATGCATGGCATCAGAATTGACAAGCCTTTGAAGCCTGATGCCCAAATTCTATTCTCATTTTTAGTGACTGCCTATGTACAAAGACTACAGTAAAATGAGCATAAGCACTAAATCTGTATCCTTACAACCTAGAAGAAATTCAGACAGCTAGGAGAGAAATTGCCTAAGGATTAATTCCTAATTAAACCTGTAACAATAGCCTGGTAAGCCAAATTAAAATACAATGGAAAGCATTGTCCTTGTTCTCATGAGTCTTTCTCATACCCTTCTAGGCCATGCAAAGTTCAGTAACAAACAGCGCTCCTCAAGATTGTCAAAGCTGTTGCTAGCCATTAAATCAGATTTATGGACAAAGTAGCTTTGCCTTTGGGAAACTGTAACAAAAGGCATTAATCCCAATTAGGGCAAGCCCAGATCCTGTCTTTGCAGGCTATCCAGAATATATGTAAACTGTTGATATTTTTCTATTCCAAAAACCACTCCAGCTTCAAGCTTATTTACTGTTCATGTTAATTACAGAAAAGAGACTAGTCTCTAATTGCAAGAGGAAATTCAAGACCTTATCCTGCCCTTGCCATGCCTCTTCCAACTGTTGTGTTCTGTGAAGAATCCATCAAAACCCAAACTTTACTTGGGGCAGACCCAAGTAAATTGCTTGTCCTAATCTTCACTGTAGCTGTGATCTTAGCCAGCTGATCTGGCAGTACCCCTTGCAGTTAAGATCCTTGCTTCATTTCTTCAATATACTCAGCGTGCAGCAATTAGCCTGCCTCATCAAGCCTCCATTTCTCAGATGCTGCCTTTGTCTCCAGTCTTAATTATAGACAAGTGCCTTTTTGTGATGCCTAAAACCACAACAGCATTGGCTGCTGTGCACACCAACCCTCTTTCTGCCTGTACTTTCTGAGCAGACTCCAGCAGCCACCTGCCCTCCTCAGGGGAAGGCTGTGTGCAGCTCTGTGCTGTCAGCAGGGACGTGGGCAGCCTGCTGCAGTGCTGCTGCTGCAGAAACCACACAGCATGCATGCACTGCCTTCCCTCCACCCTGCTCTCCACAGCACCACCCACGGCCTCAAGGGCTGCCCCACCATTCCCTAGCTGTTCACTCAAAGGACAACCTGCATTAAACCCCTCAGAGCACAGGCGGGTGAAAAACAACCATATCTGTCCTAAAAAGAACTAGCTTCACACAAACTCCTCCCCATAACTCTACATGGGCTTTTTGGCAGCCCGTGGGCACAGCTGGCTCGCTGTACTGGGTGTGCCCGGCACGGAGCTCACGTTCCCGGTCAGCCCTCGGTGCTGTGCTTTGCATTGTTGGTAACACCCCGGTGTTTTGGCTGCTCCTGAGCGGCGCTCCCACGGCACCAGTGCTGTCTCTCCAGCAGTGACCCCTCACCAGTAGGCTGGGGGTGGGCAGGATCTTGGGAGGGGACATCCCCCACCAAAGGCATATGTGCCATGTGACATGATGTCTGCTCAGCAATAAAAGCCGGGAGAAAGGAGGAGAAAGGAAGGGCATTAGTTAATTATGATGGCTTGCCTTTGGAGCAGCCACCATATGTATGGAAGCTTTGAGGCTGGCATAAAGCATGGAAGGAGATCCATGGAGCTGAACAGTTTAGGACCAGGCTGTTCTTGAGCGCAGCTGTGAGCCACCCATGCTGTGGCAGAATGCATTTCTACCACTTTAGCCACTTCCCAGCACATCCAGACACAGTTATTCAGTTCAATCCTCAGTGATGCTGCACAAAATCAGCCAAACACTTTGCTCTGCCCTGCCAAGGACAGTAACAGCTGGGGCAATTTCATAAAAAATCAGGTGGATTTGAAATTAGGCACCCTTCCCTGTGACCACAGGTTCAGCCCTGAGAATGTGTTCAGATTCCATTCAGACAAATGATGTATCAGAGCTTCTCAGTTACAATATTAAGTAATCTGTAAACTGTGGGAGTGTAAGGTGGGAGTGTAAGCTCACCATCCAAACAGGTGAGCAAGCTTTTCTGGAGCAAAAAGAAAATACTGTGTCCTCTGGTTTCAAGAAACATCCGGGATTAAGGGCACTGGAGGAGTCGGAATGTTGTTGTGTGTATCAGACACCTCCCTGCAACCAGCCAGTGCCAGACAGAGTCCACTCCAACAGGACCTTGTGCATCCTACAGGAGAGAAAGCCTAGCTACGGCCAGGAGCTCCAGAAAGAAGAGTAGGGCTCTTCTGCTTCATGCCATATGAAATCCTAGAAATCCTACAAATCCTTCTGTACTTCTGGGTAATTTGGTGCAACTTTTCTGACACAATAGGATGATGGAAGGCCTGTTCCAGGCTGAGCAGAGCACCAGAAGTTCAGATTTGTCATTTTCCTTTAAGCTACAAATCCATCCTAATCAGTGATAGTATAAATCACTAAGTGTAGGCTGTCATCATATGGCTGCTCCAGGGTAATAATGCTTAGTATCTGTATTAAGCATTATTAGCAAGGATAATGTGACTAAGAAGAAAAATCTTTTAACATTTTCTGGTTCAGTATAATACAAAACTTGGAAGAACTTTGTAGGAAACAAACAATCTCTGAATGTGTATGCTCTATTTTTTCTCTAGCCTGGAAAAATCAGAAGAAACAGTACTGGACTTCACCACGACTGCTGATGACTGCTCAGGAACACTTCAGTCTGAAGTCCCATCTGGCCAGCAAGCAGGGAAAGGGGTATCTCCACTGAAAATCATTTTGACTTCTAGGTTAAATCTCACAAATCTGAGACCACCAATATCGACTGCACAAATCAAGACAAAACTAGACTCAATAGAACTAGTGTTCAAGTATGTTCACCATAAAAAAAAAAGAAGTCATTATTTAAAAAGTTTACTTTGACATCCTGTAGCACCTGTTTAAAAGATATAATACAATCATAAAAGAAACACAGATCAAATGTGGCCTAGTCAGAACAATTGAGATTGTTCCTATATAGTGTAACAATATTTGTAAGGTCATGATGCTGACAAAATTGTGGTAGGTTCTGTAGCTAACAACTCTTAATTCTAAAGGTGATTTGCTTTCCAGCTGTCACTGTTGTTGCACATTTTAAAATTAAAACCAAGGAGACAGCACTATCCTTATCTTAAATAGTCTCTAAAACAGTTGTGATACTGGCTGGTTGTCTCTACTGTAGGTAATGAAACAGCTTTGCTCATAAAATGACTTCTAAGCATTTCTTTTTAAAGCATTTATTATAAAACAAAATCCACATAATCTATAGTACAAAAGCAGAGTCTGTTATCTGTACAAATATTTATACAAAATACCAGTTACTTCAAACAAGCCTTTGGTTTTGTTAACATAAAGAAACGTTGCAGTTTCGTGACCAGAAAATTGTTAGCATACAATGGTCTGAAGTGGTGACAGCCTCAAAGATTTTTTTCACAACAGTATTACCAAGTCATTTGTGTGTTAGAAGGCCATGCTTGGCAAAATAATTGATAAAGACTTTCTGTAACATAATAAAGGTTTTATGGCAGCAATGAAAATTGTGACATGCTGAAAACAGCGTTAATTTAATCCCCAAACATGTAAATATCAGTTACTGGCATTTTTTTTTAATGCTGTGTATTTTTGACAGGTATTGGGATGTTTGTTGAAATAGGTATGAATATATAAATCAAAGTTAACTTAAAAGAATGCATTTGAGAGAAACTCCAATATATTACAAATTCAAAACATGCATGCTCTAAAAAAACCTCCAAAACTGTAAGCTTTCAGTTAGTTCCACAACTTGTGGCTGTATGTATCTTAACTGAAGAGAACCCTAACAATAATACAAAGCTTTGTTAAAACCAGCAGAGTACAACATTTTTTTTCCCCCAGTTTATATGTTAATCTGTTTAAAATACACAAGGCACTGAAGTATTGCGTTTGGTTGTCTTTTGAGGTAAGAAATGCTACAAAATGATACACATATAAAGCTGTAATTATTAGGCTGTTTGCAGAATACACATTTTAATATAAATATAAAAAGATTACGTGTGGGTTATATAAAAATTCTTGGTACTCTTTGTATATTCCTGTACATTTACAATAGCAGCAATTGCGATACGAGTAGGTGAGTAGGAAAGCGGTCTGGGTTAGACTTGTGTTTATGATACCCCCCAAATTTCACACAGCTGTCCTCCCGCTTTCAACACTTTGTTTTACCTCCACAGGCTGATGAATTCCATGTACAACTATTTACAGGCTGCAGGATCTCTGTACAAATCAAACGGGAATGTGGCTCCCTTTGTCAAGCAGCCAGCTCAGGAATGCTGTCACCAGAGCGGCCTCATTCTTATTTACAGCAAGGTGCATCAGTGGGAGCACTGGCTTTCCAGAGGTGTCACTGGAGCTGTCCAACTTGCTTTTCTCCTCTGACAAGTCCTTCTAAGCACATTCTCTGCATGTATTTCGTCAACATAAACCAACCCGTTTAGGAATTGTCATTGTGATCTTCTATCCACCAGGATTCTGTGTTGGCTGGTGAGGACCTAGCCCTGACTCCAGAGGTGGGCTGCACAAGGGCTGTGTTTCTTGCTGGGAACAGCCAGGATGTTGCAGCTTGTCTCAGGTGGTTGGGAGCACTGTCAGCATGTCAGGACATGGCATTTTGAAGGATTTTGTTGTGGAATGCAGAAGACATATCAGACTGGTTTCCATCATTCCTATCAGCAGGCTTAACATGGATTTGAAATAAATTTTTCCTTTTGGGTTTTTTTTTTTCCCTTACAGGGAGTATGATTTAATGTGAAAAAGCCCCACAACATAGCTGGCCAACCTCAAAATAAACAAATGAAAGAAAATCACCCTTTAGAAAATCTAGAGTAAGTTCTTAGGAAGGAGAGGTAGAAGACCTAGCAGGATTGAAAATATCTATGCCTATTAAATATTTGTTTTATTGTGTAGCAAATAGCTAAACTTACACCTTCTGTAGAAAGGCAGTCTTATACACAACAATGAACAGGAAGTGTTGCAGTATCTAAGGGAACAGCAGCAGAAACAGCAGACTTCAGGATTCAGCCTTCCATGAACCTCTTATAGACAAGGCAAATTTACAAGGACAACTTATAATTCATAATTTAGTCACAACACACAACAACCACCAAATGACTGAGCTGTAAACAGTTATCTTTGACTGTGGCTTGTCCGAGCTCTGTCCAAGCATGGACCTTTATAAAACGTCCTTCAGCACTTTAACAGCAAATATGCTGCTTCCAATGCAGGCTCTGTGCCAGGCATGGAGTGCATGGTATTAATTACTGGGAATGTGCCTGCCTTCTGTTTTCATTTCCCGACACTAATGGATATAATTTGTAGTACAATTGTAAGCACAGTTACTCATTTGGACTGACTCAACATAAACCCCAACAAAATGACAGAAGAGATCTGCTTCCAAAAATGCTTGAGGCCAACAGGACCACAACTTTTGTGATGTTTAACTGAGCACACTTGTGAAGTAGCACAACATGCTGGAGAGGCTCTGAGGAAGGGCAGCACAAGAGCCCTCCCCAGCAAAGGGATCTGACCCTGCAGACCACAGAGAAGTGACAGCAGCCCAGTGTGACCACCTCTTACTTGAGTGCTCCTGCTTCCAAATCCTTTTCCACTGCTGTGCACACAGCGTCAGAATGTCAAAATCCTCAGAATCCAAAGGCACCAGTTGGCATAAAAATGGTGAGAACATCATGAGCCCTGGACCTTGCACATGACGTTCTAGATATCAGGTAGAAAACAGATCTAGGGTAAACAAGCCTGGGGATTTCCAGGAAGCCCATCCTAGGTCTGTAAAACAGGTATTGAGAGAACAGATCATTTTGTTGTTACTTTGAAAAGAATCAGAGCTTTTAGGGAAGTGCCTGTATATTTGCAAACCGCAGCAATGAAGGCTTATTACTGAAAATCAATTCCATTATTCCAGAAGAATTTTGTTTTCCATTTGTTTCTGCCTTCCTTTTTAGAATATGCTGATAATGGCATAATTAGACACAGAGCATTTTGTACTATAACACTATCCTGAAGAAATGATTATTTGTCATACATATGGATTTAGCTTAATCTTAGCCTAGGTGCTCTCTAGTGATCTGTCCAGACAGAAGAAATCTGAGTAAGAAATCTAAGTAAGGCAGCTGGGATAATGCTCATGAAGTCTCCTCAGATTCATCCAGAGCACATTCACTATCCCTACTTACTAAAATTTAAAGGTGCAGTGGCTATAGACCAATCTAGCTCAAGTCAAGCTATAATTTGCATGAACTGTTCCTTGAAATGAAGGAATCCTTGACTGTCAAAGATGATTACTTGTCCATTTACCTTACAGCCTCACACTGCTGCTGCACCTGCCCTGCAGATGGGAAAATTCTACAGGAGGGAAGACCCAAGTGGCTGCTTTCATGGCAGCACTGCAGGACAGGTAAGCTGCTCTCTGCTGGGCCATCTGTCCTTTACATCTAACACAGAATCTGCCAGATCATCTGCCCATTACTGGCTGCTCTCCAGACACCATTCCTTGTCACACCCTGAGTTGTTTCAAGTGCTAATATGCAGTCACAATGGGCTTGGAAAGTAGTGGTTGAAAACAGGGATTCAAGTACTCACAAGCTCACACACTAGCTGAATCACATCTACCCCTCTGCAGGTTATTAGGGTAGAACTTTTAAAATGTTTCCGTCAGCTTTCTCACAGAGAAGTTCTGAGTTATTAAAACCATGCTTAAGCCTCACCAAAAGGCAATTTTCCCCCACATATTTCCTATTCATCCCTGAACGGCCAGCATTTCTCATATGCAATCTCTAATTCCCTGCAAGTCCTCTTCTCATCCTTATCTAGAAGAAAATAGGACCAATTTTCTATGTTTTAGCATGCAAGTTCACAGGATGGAAACCACTAAGAACACAGTGGGGATATTCTGTAAAGAAGTAGTTCCTGTTGCTCAGATTTTCTTCCTGGTCTTTTTTAACACCTGGAGTGCAGTAATCCTTTTAAAGTATATAGTCTACAGCAATCAAAAATAATATTTGTATTTAATTGTTAAGATGCTAAATTTGTACACAAATCTTTTTTTGGAAAAGGCTTTTAATGTCAGTAATATGGAGCAGCATGGGGCTTTGATTTCCATCACCAAACTTCAAGTGCCTCAGAGAAGCCAATTCCTCAGCAAATATCAACAGCAAGACGCTATGAATGTTCAACTGAAATAAAAATGTACTTAGATCACCCAATTTAGACATGAAGGTAGCAAAAGCTACTTTAGGAGTTTTAGTAACACACCAGTGACAGCACAAATCCTATCCTTGAACTATGAGGACAGGAAGAACAGATCTGGACTAATAAGTCTGAAAACACAAAGTGGATCAGAACACTGTGGTCCCAGCCCTTCCACCACCACAACAAAGACCTCTCTCCTGGAGTTGTAGGGTTCCTCTGATGTGCTCTCAAATAACTTGCTAAAAAGACCCAGAGCCAAGTACAATTTTAGTTCAAACAAGAAAAAAATGTTCATTGTTGCCATCAATATTAAAGCTGTTGAAGGCCCCGCACATCTGTTACTGAGCAGCTGCAGAAACAGGTGCAAGTTTGCATATTCAGGACTGCCCTCAGATGTCCCAAGCAGGCACTCACATTATCATCACCAGTGCTGAATTTATAAAGTGCCATACAATACCCAATCCCTTTTGCTACAGAAAAAGAGCAATTAAAGCAAAAAAATTGTCTTCTGAATTTGAAAGGGACTGATTCTAGCTCTCCCATTCCCTAAATTTTTTTTTTTTGTAGGAATGGGAACAAGCACTTTGTTGATCTTGATTTCCTGAGGTTACAGCAGTTTGTACGAGTTAATCATTTTTATATCAACATTAATAGAAAAGAAGTATTTTTCTTTTCTCCCTCTTCTGTTCTTTTTTCTACCTATTTTTAAATCTGAATCATGTGGCAAATTTTTATGAGATATGACTAAACTGATTTTTGATTTGAGCTATGTGGATACCATTTTTCTACAAACACCAGTTAAAACCCAAAGAACTTTCCTCATTTGAATACAAGTGACCATTTTGTTCCACTTTGGAAAATGAATATTAAGAGATGAAGCAATTCTCTGACCAAGTCAACACGGGTGAACACCTCAGAAACCTGGCACAGTGATTACAGGACCTCTGAGAAAAAACTAGCACTGTGTTTTAAGAAGCAGCTGACTATTACAGCTTCTTCTCAGTCACCAAAGCTTCACAAGGAAGGATGAAGGAGCTTGGTTGCATCACTATTAAAATGGTGAGTCTGACCAAATCTGCAGTTTGTTGGGCCTTTCTCTTAGCTTAAATACAACTTCAAACTTGACCCTTGCTGTCACCCACAGGTCAGTACAACTGCTTCTGCTACCATTCACCCAGTCAGGCGGGGAACTGGTTGGGCCTAAACCAAGTTTTTTAGGACTGATCTTATTTAGCCTGGATCAGTTACAGAATTGGCCATAAGCAGAGTGCCACTGCCATGAGGTAGGACGTGATGCCTGTGGGTTTGGTTAACCTGGAAGGTTTGGCCAAGAGAAGTGTTCTTTCAGTTCAATGCTAAGCTTATGGAAAGGGAGGTTTGAAATTCAGGTCTTGACATTGAAGTTCTGCTGGGAAGCATTCAGCTCACTTGCAAACAGCAGCATCTAAGGGTTGTGATCCTGCACCTTTTCTTCCAGTGGTGAGGCAGGGATGGTACTGACAATTGTATCTAAATGGATTTTTTTCTCTAGGAATAAGCCTGCATGTTTCTTTAGATGACCCCCTCCCACAAGCCACTTAGTTTTCTTGTCTCACATTAACAAAAAGAACCACATACACTTTTTGCATGTAAAAAGGTGACTTAAAAATGCAGAAAGTTTCAACAATCCCTCCCCAAATCTTTTGGAGACTGAGTCAGTTACATGACTTCAAAAAGGCAAATATGGCACAAAAGAATGGAAATTAAGTTAAAAAAATCAATTTTATAAATATTCTTCCTCTGTACAATTTTTCACAGCCCCACCCCTCCCACCCATTTTTATTCACATTTAGTTTTGTTTAATTCCCACCCAGATTTATTTTTAAATCATAAAATATATATTTTAAATCTGTTCATATTTTAAAATATTTACAGGAAATGTTCCTTCTGTTGAGGTCATGAAGAGTCTGTACAAGGAGAGGGTGGAGGGGGGTAGAGGTGAAAATAGCTTCGTTCGGTGGCAGGAGATGGAGGGCAACTTTCCTCTGCCGACATGTACTGACTGCGAGGTGTGGGTGGAGGGGGATAAGGGTCTGAGTCTGAATTTAAATCTATATAGTATTTGTTGGCCTTCCATCGACTCGTGGTATAGTCACTGTCACAGACATCTGTGCTGCACGGGGTTGTGGGTGGAGCTATCCCTCGTATCAGGTACGGCCTGCACGAAAACAAAAAAGAACAAAGCACACGCATTAGCTGCAATCTGGGGAGAAAAGAAGGAAAAAATGAGGAGATTGAACAGCTCTGTGTGTTCAGTCAAGATGCTCACTATGTGAGCCTTAATTCAGACTCTCAGAGAAACAAGAAGTACCTGAACTGTGTCAATTTTGAATGGCGCAACTACCCTCGGCCAGCAGCACATTCTTCCAGCCCCTAACCTACCAGAGGAGACCACTCTGACCACTTAACCCAGTCACTAACAAACAGATTTACTCATGAAAGAGTTTTAAGACAAGCTTAAGGGAATGAGCAGAAAACACCAACAGGGATGCTCGGGGACTGTTGCATAGCAATATAATGTACATAATTTGAATCGTCATTTATTAAGAGAGGAAAAGATTTTTAAATGAAGTCTGAAAAAGATCCAGAACTAAAGGCAGATAAATAGAAGGTTTAGCAAACCTTTTTATCTGAACTGTACCTGTAAGATCTTGTGTTTGAAGGAATGTTTGAGGAATAAAACATCTCTGCATTGTATAAGGAGCGATCGGTAGCAGGGGAAGGAGGAGGGTTCAAAATCTAGAAACAACAGGAAAAAGAAGTGTGAAATTTTGGGTTAATTATACAGTTTTACTTAGATTGAAAATAGTATTTATGCCTTCACCCTGTCATTCACCCTTACTCTAGTTTGATCTTCTAGCTTGGATGTGTTAATGCATTTTTAAAGATCACAGATGTTCATTACAAGACTTTACTTTGGACTTAGGTACTGTGCAGGCCTTCAAAGTTCTCACTACAGGGAATTTTCTTCCTTGCCACATCTGTTATTATGCTGGAAGGCTGGAATAAAGCTGGAAATGAGACCCAGTTTGGCTGAATCTGAGTGCAATTCCTTGGACATTAAGGACTGATAGCATCCTCAGCAGATGCTATTGGAAATAAAGTGTGCTCTACTCCCAGACCCTAAACATGTCCCCAGTCCATAGTAGGGTCAGGAAGCCGAGTTCCTTTACTATAACTAATAAAACCCCATCCTTCCCTGAACACTTCATTTTTACTCTTGTTCTGTAAACATGTCATTTCGGCAGAATTCACAATGCAAAAAGCCTATGAGCTAAAGAATATTTATAGCCTGTCTGTGTGTGCATATAGACAGCATACACACATATGGCTCAGCTATGAGTGCTTACACACAGTTACTGGTAGACTCCACACAGGAAAAAGTTTAGCAGGCTTCAAAATTATTTAGGATTCTTCCACCATCAGGAAGTTGAACCTTTGACACAGCCATTAGGGCATTGGCCTAACCCTAAGAAGAGCTAAAAAGATCTTATCTCTTCCAGTGTGGAAAATTACACCATTGCTGCTGATTGAGCCTTGCTACTGATGTGCACATCTTGTACACCGCCTGCCCTGGGCATTCCACCAACTCATGCTCTGCCCCGCTGACCATCCGTCCTCTGCCTCTACTCCTCTCCCACAAAAACACTCTAAAATCACTGAGTGGAGATCATTGTTTGGGTCTTCACTGTGCAGCGTTCAGCAAAGTGATTCCTGGCCTTTGAGTTGAGCTCGCTGTTATTTATACTGACAAGCCCTGCCCCCAGATTCATGTGAAGGGAGACAACCTTTGCCAGCTGTGGGGAGTGATGAGTAACTCCCCCAAGGCCATCTTTCAGAAATCTTCTTCCTTGGAGGAGCACTGCATGCTACTTGTGGATTCACTCCTATTGACACCCTGAGCTGCATCAGTACCACTTCATGTGGAGATTAAATACAGCAAACAGTGTCAGCCAGGATACCTGTAGCCAGGTTCTCAGGTATATAAACTGACATAAATTCATTGACACTGTTTCTTTCCCAGTCTCTATTCACTGGAGCACCTCTCAGTACCACTAAAATGTGTTAAACAAACCAAAAAAGGCAGGAAAACTAAGATGCTCAGATCTGTCCTTTTGATTATTATCATAAAGCTGGGTAATTAGTGGCCAGGCAGAACTCACATAAATGTTTGCGTTAAGCAGTGCCTTAATGTAACAAAGCCCTTGCAATAGCTTCCTTCTAAGAACTCAAGAGTGTTTTTCATGAAGGAAATGCTGGTATCACCCATGCAGGCCCTGGCTGACATAGCAAAGTGTGGAAAAAGAATTCCCAGCAACAGTCAGATTAACTTAGGCCAGAAGTCAAACGGAAGAGTTGATCTTTTGGCCGACAGAGATCCCATAGAATCACACAGGCAGATCAGCTCTTGGGCTTCTTTTCTCTTTCAAGCTTTATTTAAGTAAGTGTTTGTTCTGTTCATCCTTTTTAGCATGGTACTGACACATCAATCAGGTCTAGCATGAAATTGTTCAGCACATTACAGAGACACTGGTGATGCATGAGACAAGCTAAATTAGGAGGGCTGCTGAGTTCCTGAGTTCATCTGCTTATGGATGGCTTCACAATGCAAGAAGTACATACCCAATTTTACCTTACCAACAGATAAGCTCAAAAACCTCTCTTTTCCAGTTTTGCCCTTCTTAAAGGGAGAGAAAGTACCTTTGTAACTGGCCAAAATGCTATCTGTCAAACTGCCCACACAGAGCATAACAGCCGACGTGTAAACACAAATGGGTGTATACCCACACAGTATGTGGGCTCCTGATTCAATACTACACAAAAATCCCCTCCGTAACTGGCAGATCAGCTTTGGCAGCTTGTTATGTGTGCCTAAAATCCAATGGATGTATTGCTCAGAAGCACAATGGAAAACAACTGTCATGACAAAATATGCTGGCAAACAGGAACCTTTGTATGTCTCTCCTACATATTCAAAGAGGACTCTTTCCATTCAGAATTTACATGTTGGAATTTGTGAAACTGTGATATGGGGATGAGAATTTTGCCACTTCTAACACTCAAAAGTGAGAAATGGAGCTAAATTATAGCTGAAAAAATGCAAGCAAAGTAACCTCTGCCTCACCCTGCTGTACCAGTACATGCACTTAGTTTTCTGAATCAACAATCGACGCTTGATCTAAACAGCAAGTCAATCTTATTTCATACACGTTTGTATTCCAGTCCTCTTTCATTTTGCTTGCCTTGTTATTCCATGTGTGCCTGCAGCATTAGGCAGTGCAAAATGTCATTGGGCCACTGCCATCAGAGTTAACGAGGTGGCATCTCCAAGGGAAGAACAGAAGTATCCAGGAACAAACCAGCTGAGTATCACTCTGATAACAAAACATTTTTGACATCACAGAGCACTGTATAATCCTGATGGACTACAACAAAGCCCCTTTGTGAAGAGTGTCAAAATGAGCCTGAATATTATAAACAGTAACACCCAAGAGTTGTTAAGAGTTGGTAACATCTACTTAGTAAGCATAAAGTTTCACCTCTCCTTTCTTCAGAGGCAGGAGATACCTAACTCACAGGTGTATCTCCCAGACATACCTGTGGATAGAAAGTGGCTTTAGTGCTGGATGAGCTGCTTGAAGATGCTCCAGTGACATGGTTTCTGTCATACAATGGGGCACCACTGCTTCCTCCCATGAGGCTCATGGAGCTAATCATGGACTTTCCACAAGAGATGCCTGCATTGAAACAGAGAGGAAGACAAGGTTAGATAAACCACAGAGCCAAACAGAAACCAAATCCCTAGCTTTGCAAACCCATGCAATGATAACGGTTGTCACACTTTGGGAAGAGTGCTTTATGTAAAAACTTCAGGATTACAAGGAACAGACACTTCTTGTAAAGAAAACATTTCACCCTCAGACCACTTCTTGTCTCACTGCAGCACTGAACTCACAACCTATCACACTGCTGAGAATGGAATCTTCAGAACAGCTGATCCAAACTGCTCACCCAAATTAACGAAGAAATTTTCCAATTAAATAAACGTAGGCAATTGCAAAAAAACCCCATTATACAAGGCCAAAAAAACCACCAAGCTTGAGACCTCCAAAGTTTCATTTTCCATTGCAAGAAATTAAATTGCAAGTAAATGAATAACTGCAAAACCCAAATATTTTTATTAAAAATAATCACAGCAGAAACTGAAAATCAGCAGAGACAAAAGGAAGGAAACCTGAGTTAGAGGAAAATAGAAGACATCATTCTCCAATCTGTTTTACTACAATATGTTCTTAACTCAGACAATTCATTTTCAGCTTCTTCCTGTCAGACTATTCAGTGCTAATGTAAGAGTTTGGGAAGTTTTCAGAACTTTTTTTTTCCAAATGCAGGAAATATTTATTACAAGCAGAGTAAGTATTTGTAATCATCATTCATGATTATATATCCTTCTCAGAAATGCTATGGTATTAGAAACCTGTCTTTTCTTTAGAATTAGCATAAATAATAAGGTTTTCAGCTGTTGTAACTTGTCACAACAATATGGATTAGAAAAAGCTAACAAATATGGATGAGAATCAGAATGACAGCTTGGTTTAGCACCTACAGAAGTACAGATGAAAACCACTGATACTTCCTTTAATTAGAAAAGCTTTAGTGTGAACTCAAATTTAAAACATCCCTGTGAAGATTTCACCTGCAATTATTTCATCCTCTAATTTTATTTCCTAGCACAAAAACCTCTTGATAACCATAGTAACATAATTTAAGCAGGAATAGCTGACCATAGCCATTAAAGTGCAAGAAAAGCTAATAGATTTTACATATTTGATTCAAATGACAGATTCATCCCAAAACCACCGAGCAGACCAACATCTAATTTCTGCTCTTTGAAAACTCCACATCCAGCAGCCTTTATCATGTGTAAAACTCGAAATCCAGACAATGGAATGGTGCTGATTAGATGCAAGCACCCTTACCAGTAAAAGTGCCATGCTGAGAACTTCCTGGAGCGATGAAATTGAGAGGGACGTGGGGGGTACCACTGACATACTCGTGTGGAAAGGGACTGTTGGGCCCAGCGTAGCGCTGGCACACCACGCGCTGGCACACGAAGTACATTCCTCCCATGACAAAAAGGGACAGTATTATCCCAATGACAGGACCAATGGCACTGCTGTGTGGCTGGGACTCGTCTGAGGCTGGCTTCGATTTTTCTGCAAAGAGAGGAGAAGAAAATTAAACATGGTCATTAAACACCGAGCAGTGTGCTTGCTGCTGTCCCGGAGCTCATCCGGCAGATCAGGCAGCACACAGCCATTCACACAGTGCCTTTAAAAGCATCTGCATCACACTCAGGCATCTGTGACTCCAGATATTCTGATTCAGTACACAAGACTTCATGCTTCCTCTTCCCCTCCATAAAGCAGTATGAGCAAAGTACTCTTCTTTCTGTCTAGCAATTTATCTTGTAACAGGATCGCATATCTTGATAGAACAACAGTCTAGAAAGTTTCCTTTTCTTCCCTGTCCTCCAAAGTCAATGGGTCAAAGAGAAATTTATATACTTATAAATATTAAGCCCTTAATCAGAGAGGACTGCTCTCTCAAAAGCCATTTGGGCAAGCAATAACATGAAAAATCAAGAAAATTCACCAGTAGGGAATGTACCATATATACTAAGCAGTGGATGTCTTCTTAGCTAATACAGGTCTTAAAACAGAATACTTTTCCTTCCTAAAATATGACTTGCTTTCAAAGAAACCCCACCTTACAAATTGGAAGAAAAACACAATCCAAAGTATCTCAAATACTTTCTACTCATTATTTTTTTCCCCTTATGTAGCTAAATGTTAAATAATAAAAGGTGCTGCAGTATTTGAGATGAGCTACACCTCACATCTCTCCCTGATTATGGGTAACGCATTCAAAATTCTTGCCAGATGAACGTGACACCTCTCTGTTTTTCACACATGCAATGGTCTTCAGGGAAAGCAATTTTTTCCATGTGATTCACACATTTATAATTTTATTCTTTAACATACACTAATAGATACATTCAAAAAGTGAAGAAATCAAAATAAACTTGTCCAAATTTTACATACTCTTTTCTAACTATAGACCCCTTCCCCCTTGATGAAGAAGTGAAAGGGTTCATATAAGATTCAGGCCTTTACTTCATAAAATTTTTCTCCAGTGGTTCTGGTTTCCACTTCAGAGGAAGGGAATGAAAAACAACTGAAGTTGGAGAAGGAAGATAAAGGAAATACAAATATCTAGCAATAAACTCTTAACAGCTCAGCATCCAAAACTCATTTCTTAATGTCTTAAATTCTGTTTTTTTCACACTTACTAGTGCATGACAACTTTTATGTCAGCTAAGGTCCTAATTTTCAAATAGTCAGATTAGTTCAGGCATGATACCAGAAAAAAAGCAAAGCCAAAATTAAAATATGTTCCCAAATAAGCTATTTTAAAACACACAATTCTCATTTTGGTCAAACCTAGCTTCTTTTGAATGCAAGATCCTTATCTAAAGGTAGCAATCATTTTTATTCCCTCCTTGAGTTCTTTCCCTCAGTCAAGTGGGAAACCACAGAATGCTGTGTTCCACAAAGAGCTCCAGAGGAGACAGTCCTATGTCTACATAAAGACACATTTAAATCAGTTAAGACCTAATTGCAGGACTGGACCCAAAGTGCAAACAGGAAACAGCTGCATTAACTTGGCAGCAAGAAAGTTTGCCAAGTGCATGAAGAAACTGAGTGGAAAAAAAAAAAGGAAGAAGTGGCCTTATATTATCCAGGAAATTGAGGAACTGGATGGAAGAGCTAAATGGAAGATATGGGAGAAGCATGTTCAGTCTGAAATTTCCAACAGTTTCTGTCTCCATTCTTTCAGCCTTTTTTTCTATCTACCTTTCACCATTCTTACTCATGAATACACTTTTCCTTGCAGTATCCACCATGAAGAAGGAAGGAAGGAAGAAACAAGGCTACCTTGGACCAAACCTGGCAAACTCTCCTCTCATCCCAGCAGCGGCACAGCTTCTGACAACTGGTGCTTCAAAACATGACAAATCTAAGATATTAAAAACTTCACAATCCAGTAAGGTTGGTCCTACAGGCAATGTAAGCACAGCATTTCTCTACACAAATCCAGTGCAAGCTATTTGTTCAGAATGAACTACAGACAGAGCAGCACATCTATCTGCTTTTATTCTAAAATGCTTTGTTTCAACTATGTTGCTAAACCACTTGTGTGATTCTAAACTCTCCCTCCATCTGCCCCATTCTTGAATATTTCATGCTCTAGTCACCCCAACAACAAACAACAGAAATTGCAAGAAGAGCAAAAGTAAGTGAATTTTACTGTCCATTTTGGACTACAAAGTAACAGACTCTCTAAGGACTAACTCAACTGCTGCCATCAGCATCTCTGTAACTTGCATATACCTACTGCCATGAGAATTCAGTTACATTTTTCCCAGAAAAATCAACATCTCTCCATATATTCTTTCCACACCTGCACTGTAAGAGACCGGTTTGTGGTCTCTTGCGGACACTTGCTCATTGCATGTTAGCTCCTCCACATAATTAGCCTCCAGCTTGGCCCTGTTACTGCAGTGGATAGGGCTGCACGTTTTTAAAAGCCACTCTGGGTTTAGCAGCAGCTCTGCAAGTTCCAAGGTACTGAGCACAGTCAAATCAGGTTTCCCTAAGGATACTTCTGAAGGCCCTTCTGCAATATTCTTCCCTGAAAGAAATTTGCTCTGCAAAGACCAGGGCTCTGCACAGGGGTGCAGAACATGCCCAAACACAGCACCTGAATGTCAAGAAAAGCCATCTCACCACACATGAGCTCGTCAGAGCCGTCGATGCAGTCCGGAAAGGAGTCACACTGCTGCTTCAGGAGGATGCACTGCCCGCTCGCGCATCGGAACTGGTTGGGCAGACAAATTGCTGCACAGAAAGAAAGGGAAATCAAGTACTGACAGCACACCAGCATTCGAGCCTCTTGAGCAAACTGAAACAAGTGAGCTTCATATTATGATCAGGTAGGTGCCAGAACACTGCTGTGGGTAAACTGCAAGCCTGCAATATCTCTGGTTCTTCCCCCTTGCTGTTATACCACTTACTCAGTGGAGCTAAAATAAAATTCTGGCCCCAGTAACTCCCAATCCTTTGTCAAATCAGTCCTGCTGGGGCAAAACTAAGATCAAATCAGCAAGAGTCTCTTACATTACCTAACAAAGTGTAGTTGATCACCTGACATGTTAACAAAATGTAGTAATGTGGCTCATTATAAAACCTTATGTACTCCATACCTATATTATGTATACATAATAGACATATTATGTATAATATATCCTTGCTAAGTAACTGCTAGATTTCTCATCTGTATTCAGGAACTTCTTACTTAACACAAAGGACTTGTATCTATACATTTCAAGAACAGTTAGAATCCCAAAGGGATGCTTGTGTTAGAACCATGAGTTCAGGAAAACTGATCTTACTATCACAATCTGCTTCATCAGATTTATCTTGACAGTCAATTTCTCCATTACACCGCAAGTGAGCATCGATGCACTGTCCCTTCTCACACTGGAACTGGGATGCAGAGCATATGGGGCAGCTGTCTTCATCACTCTGGTCATCACATTCAGGAAACCCATCACACCTCCATGCCATTGGGATGCAGTCAATCTCTCCAGTTGCACAGGTAAACTGGTCTGGGGAACAAGTTGGAGGTTCTGGAGAAAGAGAAAACAGATCAGATTTGTATACTCAACTTTATCCCTTTCAACAGAGTAAAATATGACAGAGTTTGTCAAGAAAAGCACTTATTCTTTCCCTGGAGTTCTTCTGTGACTACACTAAGATTCCAGCTTAGAGGAAAACATGATTTTGCATAGGCAATGAAATTTTACCAACTTCATGACAAAAACTGGATGCATGCTGATAGAAGAAGTTTGCTTTAGCAGTCAAGCACTGAACTAGGGACAGGAGCTGCAAATACTTACTCTACAAATACTTGCTTTGTCTCTAACAGCCACCTTTTGGAAGTCACTGTCATATACATAAATTCAAAAGAATACTCAATATCTGATTGCAAACCAGATTCTAAACAATTCTAGTCCCTGCAATTATTAGCCTGGACCAATTCTTCATTCTTCATTAAAAAATCTGACACATCAAGTTAATTGGCAATTAATATATCTAAAACATACAACATGTAGCTTCTAATCCCTGCAATTATATTAGCCTGGACCAATTCTTCATTAAAAAATCTGATACATCAAGTTAATTGGCAATTAATATATCTAAAACATACAACATGTAGCTTCTACAGTATCTGTTTTATTACTTTTCCAGCGGTTTTTCCACAAAAAAAATTCTGAGTCAGTTATGAAATGAAAAATATGAGTGGAGAAAAAAAAATCTTTATAGGACTGGTCAGCATTAAGCTAAGTTCTCTTGCTGGAAAGTCTTCGGGCTGCAGGTCAGTGAAGGTTCAGAGAGCAGTGTAAAGAGCACTGCAGACCTGCCCTAATCTTATATTCTCTCACTACAGACACAGACCACTTTAACTTGTGCACGGCCACTTTTATATTTGTTGGACCCAAAAAAGCTGGGACTTCCTTCAAGTTTGAGTTTTCATGGACCCCAAGACTCTGGTATGACTCCTTTTCACGTCCATACTGTTCAAGTTGCAGTGAGGCACTACTAGCATTAGACAGCAGCTACAACCCCATATAGAGATGCAACAATTATGCTCTTAAAAGGCATCCATAGTTGCTTTCTTCAGAATGTCAGGAGACAAACAATCCAGATCAAGAATCTATTGCAAAAAATGCTCCAAATTCTTACCTACAACAAGTTAGCACACAATTTTCCACCATTGTTATCAATGAAAGAAACAGACAATGGGCAAACCCACTCAAGTTGTTATCAGTAGCAATTAGTTACAGTCAAAAAAGTGGGGGCCATCTCAAAACAGCCCTGCGGCAATCACATACACTTCCACTGATTTGAAAAGTTGCTGGGTCAAAACCCTGTGACATAATGGCCTCATTTAGCATAGGCAGCCACTCCTCCCCACAGCTGCTGCTGCCCAGTAATGCTCTGAGCTGATATTCACCACTTGGATTAAGAGAGAACCACATCATACCCTACTATAACAAGAGCATGATCAAGCTAGAGGTGTGCTCTGGCACTGCATGGTAACACTCCTCTGGAAGCCCAGTGGGCTTTTCTTAAGATTCAGGTTCAGGCATGGACTTCACAAAGAACCCAGCATAAGGAAAGTTTCTTAGCTGTATGAGTATTTTTTTCTCCTGAGGGTGGTGCTAAAAATTCTAGAATTACATGCAAACAGTTTTTAAAGTGCTGCTGTCCTTTCTTCATTAGGGAGAAAAAGATCAAGAATGAGACAAAAGTATAATGAAGAGCTTGAAAAACAAAATGTAAATAAAAGTCTAAATGTGCTTGGGTCTTGAAAAAATTATGATTTTTTAAAGTTCCTCATTTATGATTATTTGGAGGAGCAATATGAGAATTACAAATGTAGCCAGTGACCTGACAGCTGTAGATAAGATAAAGATGCCAGACACACACATTAAGGTGAATTATATTTTGAAACAAGTGTGCTGTTTGGATAATTAAACAGACAGATCACTACTTCTGCATTTAAAGGCACATTTAATGTTGCACTGTGGTTGCACTTCAGCAAGAACAAGCTTGCATTAAAAAACTTGACAAAAGCATTCGTAAGAATGTCCAGAGTATGGACAAAGGTTCTCCAGACAACTATGCTATTTTGAAACACTGGGTAGTGGCTGTTACTAGGACAGACAATATGGGTTAAAAACCTGTTGCAGGCTTAGTGAAAGATTAGAATAAAAAAAACCATAAGACCCTGAAATGGAGGCCCCTGAATTTTTAGATTTATAGCTGAAGATCCAAAGGAGTGGAATGTGAGACTCCCTCCCTATCCACATTGTGCAACAACACTACAGCAAGAAGTATAATTAGATTGATCCACCCTGACCTCCCCATGTAACCACCACTACTCTAAAGCCACATAACTTGTTGTGGCCATGGGAAAGAAAACAGTTTATCAGGGAAATGACTGTCCCATGGGAGTTCAGAGTTTAGCCAGAAAATGAAATCCACAGCAAAATAAATACATGAGAAGTCAAGAGGACCAGCAGAGCCAAACAAGTTAAGACATAATTCCTCCCAAAAAGAAACAATATTTTGTTTTGAATCTTCTCTGCAAGTGTAATGTTAAGTTTTTAAAAATACTAGGATGGTAAAAGGGAAGGCTAAAGGAAAAGTCTACCACGTGGACAGAGGAGTGCTATCTTAATTAAAAAGAATCTCAATAAAGCCTACATTTGATAAGTAGCCAGTACAGTGTTTCACATTACATGGCCAAATTAATTTCAAAGACTGGAGTCTCACACTCTGGGAAGCACAGGCACAATTTCTGCTCAGGTCATCACAAGTTGATGCAACATCATCTTCAAAACACTTGTTAAAAGCACAAAACTGTCACATCATACAATCATAAAAATCTCAGTAGAAGATGCAAGTATTTTAAGGTCAAAATATTCTGCTCAGAATGAGCACCCAAAACCTCAAGCAGAAAACAGCTGGTAGAACTACCAAAGACTAATTTAACACACGATGCAGCACAACATGTACAGAAAAACTGTGTGTAAATCCACATTTTGGATTGGAATGCAACCTCAGCAGACACATTTTTGATACAAATTGATTAGCAGTGCTGTTAAATGTAACTCACCTCCACAGGTTAAGAGATTCTGCAGAAGCACAAGGTGCTCAGGGCATGAACATCTTGGAGTTCCATCCCCTTTGGCAATGCAGATGTGCGAACACCCACCATTGTCACGGGAGCATGGATGCACAGCTGGTGAAACACAAAAAATAATATCATGTAGCGTAAAAGAAATTATAACTATTCCTCAATAGGGCAAAATAAAAAACTACTCACAAACCACTTCTGTCTGAGTAACAAGATTTCACTAAAAATATTAGAAGGATACATGCAGGATTTTTCAGTTCAATGCTTGAAAGATGATTTATTACTCCATAAGGACTAAATTTCTCCCAGTCATAGTAATAGAGCAACCTGATCAAGCTGCCCAGCCCATTGCAGGAGGCTGGAACTGGATGACCTTCAAAAAGTCTCTTCCAACCCAAACCATTCTATGATTCTATCACATGGAGACCTTTTGAGAACGTCTAAAAAGAATATGGGAGCTGAGGTGAAGAGAACTGAAGAGACAGATTTGGGAAGGCTGCATTTATGTCTTACCTAGATACCGCCCCTGCATTTCTAGGGTAGGCATCAAGAAACAATGTATGTCTTTGTTTAAAGAGAGGAAGCTACGTGTTTGTGTTCCCCATCAGTTACCCAGAAGCACTGAGAGGTCCTAAAAGAAGGATTTTTAATGAACATTAGGTGGATAAGAAACAGGCACAGAGATAGGAGGTTACTGTCTGATGACCCCAGCCCAAAGAGTCAGGAGAGACTCACTCTCTTGCCTGCTTATTCAGGCTGATAGCTGAGCTTCTGCTGCAGCAACCTGAGCCTGTATTATTTGTCATGCTGCTGGACAGTGCATTCTTTCCTACTGCTCAGCATCAAGAATTTACACAGCGAAGAAATTGTTTAGATATCATAATTTCTCTGTCAAAGTTGTTTTCCAACTGTCCAGTCTTCTCAGCAACCTGCTTTCTACCTTTAAGAAATTAATTTGTTTATATAATTTGTTTATACAGTGTTTCAGGCATGATTTGCTCACAGAAGTGCATGCATATATACCTGCATGTGCATACATATGTTTACTCCCTGTTGTAACAGAAATCACCTATGTAGAAATTTTTCAGCTGCAACAGAGGATTCTCTTTCCCTATCTTAAATAAACATGTGGGGAAACAAGCAAACCTCTTTTTTAATACTGTTGAGAATTAAAGAAACAAAATCTTTTTGCTTCAGTCAGTATTACCTTTGAAATATATCAATATATGTGAAATGTGTGAAGTGGCAAAGAAGAACTGGGTATTGTGAAAGAAAGAACCTCTAAGTCATAATTACCCTATAGAATCTATTACAGTTTAAATGCTTATGTTACCTGATTTGTAACAGCTTACCCACACATACAAGTTCAAAAATACTTCCAGCCATCACAGACACTAATGTATGTGACACAATGTTTGTTGTGAAGTTGAATAATTTCTTCTGAAAATTAAAGCATTATACACCAATGTACTCTCCCTATATAAGGCAACTCATCACAGGCAAGAGAGACCTCTGTTTCTCACATTTTGTTTGGGTTTTGTATTCTCTTTTACAATCCTGTTAATCAGGAGGAGCTGTAGATTGTCACTTTGAGGAGAGACTGTTTGAAGAGGTTTCACAGCACACTCCACCAAACCACAGTAATGTGGACCACTACTCCAGAAAAAGAACATCCTGCATGCACAACCCCTTTCAGATGTGAGCACCTAAAATGCTCCACCTTTGTTGGGAAACAAATTCCACATCCACAGTACAACTCACTGTAGGAGCTTCCTCCCGATTTTGCCTCCCTCACTGCAGGCTTTTACATCATCCACTGTGCTGAGCCAAATCAGACATAGCTTTACATGGGAGACTGAAGCACCTGGAGACAAGGCAAGTACAACCCTTTTGGCTCTTATTAGAATTTTTTCCAAGACATATTACTTGATTGTACTTAGAAAATTAACAACCAGAATTTCAAATAGCTTTTTGACTGAATTCAGTGTCATGTGAGCTTGCACAAAGCAGGTAACTCAGTGCCATGATATCACATGTTCTAGCTGGGCAGCAATAGTCCCCTGGACAAGAAGGAGAAATTTGTTTCGACTCTCGTGCAACCCTGACTGGTCAAGTTGAAAGCATTTTGTGGCTTATTTGAAGCAACATTATTGCAATATCCAGCTGGATGAGGACTTTGAGATACAATGACCAAGACATCAGATACTGAAACTCACAGAATTCTTCCATATCAAGCTCTTCCACAGCATGAATGCCCGTTAGGTGAGCAATCCTGCCTTGAATTCTAGTCCTTTTGTACCCATTCACTTTCTCCACTCTCTCAATCATCTGCTGCTGACGATCAATCCAATACAGGTGATTTCCCAGCACAGTGAGTCCCATGGGCTGAAGAATGTTGGAGTCCTCCAGGGTCACACGGTTGGCACCTGAGAGCAACATAAACAAAGACTAGTTTTACACCAGTCAACTTCTAAGTTATTCCTTAAAAAAAACATCATAAAGCAACGTCCCAGCTAAAACCAAACCAAAGCAAACCTTGGAGACAGTGAGCTACAAGGTCATTGACTTAATCTGTCTCTGCTTGTTCAGTCCCATCTCAGGCAAACGCTACCAGTGCCACGTCTGGAGGGCAAGCAGATAGAACACGAAACCCAGCTCATCCCTGGCTGGTCAGCCAGCCATGCCCAGCCCCACACTGACAGCTCCGTGATGGGCAGCTGGGAGCGCTCCCAAAAGCTGATACAGACTCAGCTCTTGGGCCAAAGGTTTTACAGTGGGCTCACACACGGAGCTGTACATTTTTTCTGGAATTTATAAGCAAGAGCAAAATACAACCCGTTCAGTTTCACTGCTGTTACTCAACTAGAACATATTCATCATGCAAAGCAAGAGGCAAGTACCAAACCTTGTCACAGCCTATGCGACAACCACAGATATATGATCGAAAAAGGAAAGCTCTTAAAAGAAACCCAACTTTTTTTATTTAGTAACCCACCAGAAAACCCAAACTTTACATGACTCAATATGCTCCTAAATAGGAACACTGTCAATTGCTCAGGCTCTCTCTTTATAAAAATATGTGAAAATCTGCTTTAAGCCAGTGAGTAAAAAACAGGTCAAGTAAAAATGCATTTGTTATCAGTTTTCACTCTAATTACTTGTGTCTTCTTAAGCATTCTACTGCGTACTTAGAGTAATTTAGTTATTGCTTTTATTATTCTTTTCTAGGGTGAAGATATTCCAAATTATTCTATTAATTCACTGAAACCATTCAGACCCTGTGTATACCTACATAACTGGATATATTTGATTAAAAAAATTAAAATTTAAAACAAAATAACTTGGTGCTGCTGCTTCTCTCATAATTAATTCTGGATTATGACCTTATGTCTGCTTGTATATAAAAAATGTAAGTTTTTAGTATCTACACAAAACAAGATTATAGAATCCACATAATAAAAATGCTATGAGAACCAGATTCAATTAATTTGCTGCATGAATTATGCAGAACTCAGCCGAGCATGACCATTAGTTTTGCTGTTAGAACAGCTCCAGAGGAGGGTCATGAAGATGACCAGAGAACTGGAGCACCTCTCCTATGAGAACAGGCAAAGAGAGCTGGGGTTGTTCAGCCTGGAGAAGAGAAGGCTCTGGGAAGACCTTAAAGGAGCCTTTCATGATACTTAAAGGGAGCTTATAAAAAAGAGGGGGAGGGACTTTTTGTATGGGCAGATAGTGATAGGACAAGGGGGAATGGTTTTAAACTAAAGGAGTTTAAAAGCAACTTTTGGTCTAACTCCAAGTGAAAAATTCCAGAACCTTGCAATGAAAACTGTAAGATTGGTTTATAGTTCTTTTATCCCTCTCTGAAAGTTAAGCACTGGACATCTGAGGCTATTCCCTGATTTAGCAGGATGCTGTTTCAATCAGAGTAATCAGGAGTTTCCATAACCATGTCACCTCTACAAGTCTACAATGGAATAATAAAGCCACTAACTACCAGAATATCTAGACCAGTTTAATTGGCATGAAGGATGCTATACACAATTTTGGTCCCTTTTATTCAACAGCCTTAGTTTATGCTAAAACTTCTTCCTAACATATGCCCATTTTCTCAGAGAAGTATTTTCTCAAAAATATTTTTTTCAAAAGCATTTTGCTCAGAAAATACTATTTAGAAGAGGCAATTCATATTAACATCACTTTGGCTCTCAAATTTCTTCTGAAGTTGTGATGCAAGACTGAAAAGCATTGTAAAAATAAAAATATGCTGCTAACTCATTTAAAAATCAACATCTCAGTGAATCAAATTACAGTGAGCTCAACTGGATCAAATATAACCACAGTTTTCTGACTACAGATACATCTTTCTCCAGTTCATAAACATCATTTTCTTTTAATCCTGTAGCTTCCCTCTGCTTTTATATTACTTAGATTCTTTGGCTGTGACTGGATGTGGTTTCTATATAATTTTACCTGGTGCCTCTTCCATCTTATCTTGAATACCACTCCAGCACACCTGCATAACATGAAGCCTTGCCATCTTGTCATTTTACTTTTAAATGTCTTCTCAGAGCACTTTTATCACTAGAGAAGCCCCTCTCAATGTCTCTGATGCGTTTTGTGTTATGTATCCCACCCAGTCACCTTTTCTTCTCAAATGTGGTTTGTTTCATAAGCCAAAATCTTGTCTTCCTCTTATCTTTTTTTCTCCTATGCATTTTTGTAGGTTCCCTGATGCCTGTCCTGGATGAGTGTTTTGTGGCTGCTCAGGCAGTTTGACAACACTCCCCTATTCAGCCTGGTCACTGATGAAAGACATGGGCTGCTCTACCTTCCCATCTGCAGCTCCATTGTTTTCATCCCCTCTTTGGAAGAGTCTGACCTTGAGTCAGTTTTAGGTGCTCAAAAGCAAACTATCCTTGTAAGAAGGTAAAGAACAACCTGCCGTTTTAGTTCATTGCTTCACTGCAACACAAGGGAAGGATGTGACCACATGGCAAGAGGAGTCACCAAAACTGGAGATTCAATTCTCCATGGCATGTACCAATCACTACAACAGCCCAGCTTCTATTCCTTCACACTTGTTCGCTTCTCTCTGCACTTCCTTTATGGGCTTCACTTCTTGATACATGGATGATGATGACAGATTAATCATGAGACAGAAAGTAGGGCCATTGCATCCTCTGCTCTACACTGCCCACCAGAGCAAATTTCTCCACTTCTTCAGCACTGTCAAGTGCTTTGAAGTCAATGATGAACTGTGCTCTCTAAGATCCATGAGTGCTATTGCTTTGCATATGGAGTAATGCTTTATATTACTAATGTGCTCAAATTGTGATGAGTTGGCGACTCTCCACTGCGTTGCAACAATGCTGTTTCAGACGAGCTGTCTTATCACCCAGATTAGAAAAAACCCAAACATTGCCCTTTTTTCTGTTTTTTTTCAAGCTACCTTGATTTACTAAGCTGTAAGCTCCAGAGAAAGAAAAATTGAAAAGTATGCAAACTTTTCAACCACTAAGAAAAAAAAAGGGGCACAGAGGAGGTTATTTAGGGGTTCCATGACTAACAACGCTTTCAGAACACATCAAAAGTCAAATGGCTGTCTTGGAGGGTGTCAATCATTACAGTCATGTCTATTCTAATTACATCAAAGATGGGAGCCCACCAGCAATTGCTGTCTGTGACTGCCTACACAGAACTGGCAGCGGTGGAGATGAAAGTCACTAGGCTCAGCATCAAAGAGGGAACAATGTCCTTTACATGCTAGCACTGTGCTGCAAGTGTTTAACTTCATACCACATACCTGACAGGTCACAGCTCTCGATGCGCTTCAGATCCGCATCCACCCAGAAAAGCTTTCCAAGTTTGTTGTCAACCACCAGCGCTACCGGTCGGATCAAGCCAGTTGTAAAAAGCACTTCTCTCTCTGTGCCATCCAGGGCTGCACGCTCAATCTTGGGAGCTCTCTCCTGCATGTTGGTGAAGTACATGTACCTGAGAACAGAGACAGCACCGCTGAACGGGAGCTCCAGGGACAGGGAATTCCCCTCTGCCCACCTTGCAAGCGGGAATGGTTTCACAGGCATGGCTGCCATGACTGCTCCCAGGTGCAAAGATCCAGAACAAAACATCTGCTAACTGACACACAGCCTGAAATTAACAGGATTTATCTCCAGGCCATAAAGTGCCTCAGCACTGCTGCACCAGCAGCACTGCTCCTGCATGGAGCTGGGTGTTGTAAGAGACTAGCACAGACCTTCTGCAACTCTCCCTGGGTAAAGCTGTCCCCACTTACAAATTGAAGTCCCCAAGTTCTTTCTGACAAAAAAAACCAAAACATTAACCACCACCTCCTCTCCTTCTAGGTAACTTCTCCTCCTCAGCAAGTACAATTTCCTACCAAACTTGATAAAAGATTACAGAAGAACAACTGAGGATGGCATGTTCCTGACATCTTAGTTCTACGAATTCTTTATATCTGCCTAAGCCAGTTCAGTTGCAAACAAAAGCAGCCTCTGTCCTCCTGATGCATAGAGAAAAAAGGGTTTGTGCACCCCCACAATGAACTGAGACCTCTTGAAAGGAAAAGTCCACTATTTTTTCAGTGCTGAGCAACATGGGCAAACTCTCCAACAGCTTGAGCTGCATTGCTGCACAGGCTTTCCTTATGGAACAAGGAGGGGAGGCAGCAATCAGAACATGCACCCAAGGGAGAGGCGGAGGAAGGAGTTTCTGTAATTATGGCAGAAGCCATTGAAAATCACTCATTCAGCTCTACCAGACAGTCACAGTGTTCTTAACATACTGTCTTCCTCATTTTTCCTCCTTTACTTTTGAAATGGATTTAGCATTAAATCACTTGAAAGCCTGACCAGAAAAGTTGAGAGTTTTAGAGATCAACAAACCCAAACTCCCATTTCAACAGAGAAAGCAGATAAGCTTTTATAAATACAAGCTATATCCAAGGGACTTAGTCCCAGTAAGATTAGAATCTTTCCTCTAATCCTCCTCTCCCCACAACAGCTTTTGAACAGTGCAGAGTACACTGGTATAAAACACCAGTCCTATAAACACTCCAGACAGAGTCTCTGGGTACTACTGTATCCACACATTTGTGAAATATTGTCATTCAACATCTGTCAAGCACATGGTAAGCCATTTAGCAGTAAACTGCGATTTAAGCATCTCACTTATTCAAGAGAACAGTAAAGCACCATCCATCTTTGACATCTAAGAAGAAAGCTACTAACTACCAGAAGCAGAGAGAGTGTCTGTTGAATCTAACCAAAGCTGCTTTGCAGCAAAACAATACATTTTCCTCCTGTTGGAAATTACTCTAGTGTATCCCACCTGCTTCAATTCATTTCAGAGGGTTTTAAGATACTCATTACATCAGAACTAATTTAAGAATGTATAGAACACAAGGGGTTCAATTGTTTAAGCTTTATACTACTGCATTAGCAGGAATAGTTTTACCAAATTCGAGGCTCCTTTCTTTACCCTGGAAACATTTGTTTTATGATGACTAAACACTTAAGAGCCAGATTCTGAGGTGATACAGACTCTCTTGTTTTTGCTATCAGGTGGCAGGGCCGTGCATCCACACAGAGAACAGTACAAGGTGGTTTTACTTTGCTGTCACCACCTGGGTTAGTGCCTCACGCATGGCTGTGAGAACAGAGGCAAATGAGAGAACAGGAAGAGAAACCTGGATACCTCCAGAACCCAGAAGTGGATCAGCAGTCACCTACACCCTGAACAAAACTCAGAACTTCTCTTTGCACAAACAGACCGAGGCAGCACAGGGTTCCCAGGCACGGAGCTGGCACGCGCCCAGGAGCGCTCTGCGCAAGGAGCCGGACGGACGCTCACCCGCGCTCTGCGTTCACCACGATGGCTCTGGGCCTGTCGTGGTCCCCCCGCAGCACCATCCCGATGGATTCCCCGTTCAGCCGGTGCACGTTGACGGAATTTGTGGCCTCACAGGTCCAGTACAAGGTGTGGCTGTAGATATCGATGCTGAGGTCGTGGGGCTGCTTCTCCGGGTTCTGACTTTGGTTTGGGGTACTCATTACAGTGAAAGGCTGCAAGACAACACACGGGCAACCATTTCCAGCCATTACTCTGATGATTGACTGAAGAACATTGATTGCACAGAAAGCATGGTTTACATACCCCATGGTTTAGAAACCCCTAAAACCACAATCCTAAAGATCTTCAGTAATTCTCATATATAAATAGAATATCCATCAGTAAGTGCTGACAAGAGCAGTTGTCAGTGATGATCCCTTGGTGTGGCAGATAGAAGAGGAAGGTCAAGCACAAAGTAAAAGCACACAAAAAGACTGATACAAAACTATATACACCATGTACACTTGCCTGGGTGCCATCATCTTTGGCTCTTTTTATAATATTCTGGCGTCCATCCACCCAGTAGATCAATTTATCTAAGGGATCGTAATCAATAGCCTTGACATTCCTCAGACCATGCATGGGTAGGATGATATCTGGGCTTTGCTGATCATCAGGTATCATCCTGCTGATGGCAGATTTCTGGCTAAACAGCAGGAAACTGGCTGGGGCTGAAACAAGCCAAAACAGAATGCATGAGAAAGTACAATTCCCAAAAACATATCCCCACAGAAGAAAGGGAATATTTAGAACAAAGTCACAAAGAGACACTAATATCCACAATGAAAATTAAATAACTCATAACTGGAGATTTTTGCTATAAAGTTGAAATGTTTCTTTCTATAGTTAAAGGAAATCAGGTTAAATCTGCAGGACCTGCCTTTCAAAAATTCACCCTTTCATTCAGTCAAAATTGCCTTATATGCTACTATGCACCCATTTTCTATTCATGTGCCATTTGGAAACTGGAAACTTAAGTTCCTATTGAACAACCAGTCAAGTGGCAGGCTTATAATATCACATATAATATAATATCACATGCAGGGAGAACACAAACTTCTATGTATTTCAAGTGCGTCTGCAAATTGGGCAGACTACTTAGGAAGTTAGACTGCTTTACTGAGTGCTATTTTAGCTGACTTTATCAAGCACGTAAGAGAAAAAGACATTTTTTGTTGGTAATTTCTTTTCTACCACCTACACACTTAGGTAAGGAGTGGGAAAGCTTCACTCACACAGCTGAATCACCTAGAAAGCACTTCTGGTAAAACAAGAAAGACCAGACTTGACAGCACTGTCATTTCTAAGACTTGAAATACAAATCTTCATGCCTAGCACATGTCACAAAAACGGATATAAAATTCCATACTCTGTCCTCATATTCAAAGATCACTTTTAAAATCAGAACCTTTGAAACATACTTGGGACCCCTTTCCTTTAGCACCTGGGAGCCACAAGCACTGCAGAACACAATAGCAAATAAAAAGGCTTACAACTACAGTTCCTGCTGTTGGGATCCAAGGTGTAATGAGCAGCACAGCCACACCTAAATCCATTTGGGATGGCAAGGCACAAGTGACCACAATGGCCATTATTCTGCACACAATCATTCAAGCCGTCCTGACGAGAAGAATGGAAGACCAGTATGTCCATCACAAAATCCAGATGGCCCTGAATAAGGGTCCTGTTCTTCCCACTGGTCTTGTCTGCTCTCTCTATGCTGTGAAGATTCCAGTCTGTCCAGTAGATGTAGTCACTGTACTGGGTTAATCCAAATGGATGAGGTAGATCATCTGCTATGATTTCTCGTTCTTGTCCTGCATAAACAAGGATAACCAACTAAAGGACAATTCCCACGGCATAAAATGAAGAGTGTGACTGGCATGCAGAAAAATATTTTTCTTCTTTTTAAAACCAAACCTCATTTTCCAAATCAGCATCACGGGATTCTTTATTAAGTAGTATCTGCTCAAAATGTAACATAAATAGTTGCATTCCAAAGCCCTACCAGGATACCCTCTTGCCTACAGAGCAATTTGAAATTATTCCAGCATACTGTAATCTAAATAAATACTACTTCATATGTCTCATGCTTATCAACCCAAACAGACACTGAAAAATATATCCAAGAATACTACCAGCTCCAGTAATCATTTAGGCTAATAAAAAAGCTCATTAATATGCATGAAAGCAACAACAAACTTGAGATTCACAGAGAAACTGCTATAAGAAATAATGGTGCTTCACTCAAGAAACAAATCTTTCACAGTGCAATTTAACATACAGCTATCCCCCCAGGAGAGGAGTTTAGGAAACGTTTGGCAGAAATCTCAATACTCCCACATTCAGCAGCTCAGTTAGCAACATTTACATTAGATTGAACACCTTCTAGAGCATGGTCTCTGACAGAGATACATTACTGAAGAAGATAAAGTCTTACTGCAAACCACCTTCCTGAACATTTTCAAGCATAAACCTCTACGAATCTCTGCCATCAAATGAAGATGTAGCCTTTAGCAGCACCATCTCCTCCTGTCTCAAACATCCCGTGCAAGACTCTACAGAACACCTCACTTTCCATTTCACCAAGACTTGAGAAAGAATGAAATAACCATGAACCAGAACATGAGGTCATCAGATCTAAATACAGAGGCAACCTTTCCATGTAACTTTCAGGCATCTAAATCCTCCAAGTTAGGGGTACAGATAACCTGCATGCTCTCAGGTACTTAGAGCAATTCTGATCCGTAGTGATGAATTCAGGATAAATACTCTTTTGAAGGAAGTAGATAAGTTGTATAATTGAATTTTCATAATAGGTGGAAGAAAAGCTCCCAAAAGTGTGATTTTCTTTTTTCCCCTGCTGTTTATAATGTCCAAGATTAGGCTGGAGCAGCATTCACTCATCCACTTCAGAGTGCTTTGCTCATCCCTTAACTGATGAGCCCACTTGTTGCAAGTCTCCCTGAGTCTTTATCATCTGCTGACTACAAAGACATTGTGCAACATGAAAGTGAATGGGCACAAGTCTACGGGGCCTGATGGGATGCATCCCAGGGTCAGGAGGCAACTGGCTGATGAGGCTGGCAAGCCACTGTCCATTGTATTTGAAAAGCAATGAAGTTGAAAGTGATGAAAAAAGGGAAACCTCACTGCTATTTTTAAAAAGAGGGCCCAGAGGACTAGAGATCCTCACAGAGGTGAGCCTCACCTCTGTGGTTGGGAAGATCATGGAACAGATCCTCCTAGAAGTAATGCTAAGGCACATACAAGACAAAGGATGATCTGACACAGCCAGCACAGCTTCACTAAGGGAAAATTGAGGCTGACCACCCTGGTGGCATTCTCTGGTGGAGTGACTTCAGAAACTCAGAATTCTGAAGATATGCACACACAATCACACCTTAAATATAACCCACTCTCTAAAAGTATCTTTTCATGGAATAAAACAAACAAACAAACAACCTAGTTGCAGTGAAATTATGTATATTGGCAATCAGGGCACACCCCTTGTATGTATAAATGAAATTCCAATGGAACACATGAGAATGTGTGAGGTTGTACCTGAAACACACTGCAGTAGTAGCTGCATAACCTTTCAGCCTACAAGACACACAAGAAGTATTTTGGTTTAGAACTAATACAACTGGTCTGAAGCCAGAAATAAGAAATAGTACTTCAACAGAATATTAGTGTTCAGGTAAAATGTCAGGGATGATTTATAATGAGTTGTAAGTTGTAATGATTATAATGTAATGTAAGTTGTCCTCACTTTGAGAACTCAGAGGCCATCTCTGCTTTCATACAACACAGACAGTTTCACACCAACAGAGAGAAATGACATCTTATCTCACCACCATTATAAATCATCATATGGTTATTAATTTATGAAGGTTTTAAAAATTTTCTCAAACACTTAACTCTCCATTTCCTTTTATAAGAAAATATACACACAGATTTACTATCAGTTATATTGCTCAAATGTCTTATTATTCAATTATTTTACTATGACCAGTGCACATTTCTGTACTGGCTGGTGTAATATAACATTAGATTACCCAGCATATTTGATGACTCAATCATGCTTGTGTCTAAGTCAGTCCAGTAGAGCCTTTGGTCCACATAATCAATAGTGAGGTCATTGGCACGCCCCACTTTGTCCACCAAAGTGATGCTGTTTGTCCCATCCATGTAGGCTCGAACAATCCTGGGTTTGCCTCCCCACTCAGTCCAGTACATGTATCTGCAGTGAGAAGTGCAACAAAAACAGGACATCAGCCAGGTATAGCTGCATGCTTTGCCTTTCTAAATTTCTTTGCAGCACTTGAAAAGAAACCCAAAAAACCCACATGGTTATGTGCAACATCACAATATTCCTTTTTTAACACAAAGGCAGAATAGTATTTTCGACAGTTATTAATTTTTCATTGTAACCCATAGGATTGTGGAAGGTTTATTACCTTTTCAAAGACTCTGAAGAAACAGAGTTGTGCAAATAACTTGTTACGTACAAGAACACCAACATAAAGCTTTGAAAAGCAGCAGAGTCCCTTACCCTTTGGTGGGATCAAGAGCCAGAGACCTTGGGTTGTCCAAGTCCTTCCACACAAGGACCTGCCTGTACTGTCCATCCAGGCGGGCGACTTCGATGCGATTGGTTCCAGTGTCTGCCCAGTAGAGGTTCTTGCCCATCCAGTCCACAGCCATTCCCTCAGGATAATCTAGCCCAAACTCAATCACATGCTCAACAGAGCTCCCATTCATGAAAGCTCGACTTATGGTCTGGAAAACAATGGTGTAAAAATGTTACAGTACTTATGGATACCCCAGTGAAATAAAAAGGAATAATTATCATGAAGTTCGGTGAACAAAACGAAATTAGTACAAAAAACCCCAGTCATTGTTACTTTTTAAACAACTAATTCCTGTTGTCAAAAGTACAGAAATTCTCAGGAGAAAAACACCTGAATTTTCAGAAAGCTAGTGGTTTCTGATGGCCAAGGCATCTGAAAAGGACATGATTTTCAGAAAGCAGTATGTAGCTGCAGATTCTTCTTGACACCTCTCCCTCTCTTCTATCTGCACACAAGAAGCTGGTTTAAAAAATTATTTAATTCCCTGTCATGTTTTAAGTCTCAGAAACACATTCTCAGTGGCATCTAAATTAAATTGTTTCTCATAATCAGCCACCTGGAGCACGTCTACAACAGAGCACATCTACCGATCCCATTTACATTTTAGTTATGCACACTCATCAAAATAAGTCACAGGGCAAGGACTGTACACAGGGTAAGTCACTGCTAACAGCACAGAAACAACCCCCAGGTAAAGAGTAACTTCCAGGACCAAATACCCACTCTTGCTTATCAACACTGAGCTACCACTCTACGTGCCTGGCAATATTTCAGCTATTGATTTCTTAATAGTTTGGTACATAGATGTGTAAGGGTCAGAGACATTTTACACTTTTGAAGGTACATGTCAAACCTTGAAATCACATTGTGTAGTTTTTGAAAATGTGTCCTCCTATAACCAAAGGCATGCAGAGAGCAGGGAAGTGGTGGGCACTGAAGGAAAGGGAGATCACTGTGAGCTCTGAAGTTATAATACCTGCCCCATAGCAGCTAGATGTGGGGGACAAGGGGAATGACAACCCAGAGGTGCTGGAAGTTACCTGGTATGTATATGAAAATACAGTATGCTGGAAAATTCGGGAGGCAACAAACAAGTAAAATGCTTTCCACTCCTGCACAGAGTGAGACTGAGATTTAGTGATGCAGCTGATGTGCTTTCCAGTACAAATGGTTAAGATGCCCATAACTCCTGCTCTCCACGTGCTTGTGTGAGATTTATTTAGTAACTGTGTCTACCCTTCACTAATTTATTACACTGGCACTCTTCCTGAAGGAACGGGATCCAAAGCCCAAGCAGCACTGCTCACTCTGAAGCACAGCCTTCATTGGCACTCACAGAGAGGCTATGGAAAGTGCCCGAGCCCTGCAGGCTCCAGAAGTGAGCTTTGCCATGTTATGGCTTGGGCACAAGGGCAAGGAAACTCTGATTGCTCTTGGAAAACCTATTAAGAGTCTGAATGGAATAATTTCATTCCAGTGAAGTGAATCTCTTATTTTCTACCAAATACTTAGTTCACTTCAAAAGGCCAAGTAACACTGATGAAGAGCACAACCCTGACTTTAGCATGCACCTGGATGTGTACCAAACATCACAGGATGTGTTCTGGGGAACACACTGAGACAGAACTGGGGGCAGGTGGGCCCTTAACACAGTGTGGAGGAGACTGGACAAGTTCCCCGGCTTTTTCTGTGCCAAGCTGAAGCCACAGACTAACAGCAAACAATCCAAAGTTCACTTGTCAAATGTTAATACTGAGTACAATTGTCTTCCAAGTCAAAACTGGAAGAGGATAGAAAACTCAGGGGGCTGCTGAGCTCAATGTTTAAATTACTGTACTCTGACATAAACTCAGCTTTTCTACAGCAGATACATATATGGATGCAACACATCCAGCATCCAAGATTTAGGCATTTGGTAGGAGCAGACACCACTCTGGATTTTTATTTGAAGCAGGAAGGTGCCTGCCACCCTGCTGTGCATTCAGCAACGCAACTGTCTTCATCTCCAAGGGTCTCCTTGGATGCAATTCAATGACAACACTGGCAACTGCAGGACAGATCATGTAACAGAGACCTTTGTTAGATCAAAGTAACTGCTCTGTGGCTTTATATTCAAGGAATTCACACGTCAGTAATACCTTCAAACTAACATCAGTCCAATAGATTCTGTTATCAGAGACATCAAAATCCAGAGCAGATGCTTCCTTGACTCCAGTAAGAGGAATAGCAACATCATTATTATTGGTTTCAAGGGAAATCCTATGAATTGCTGCTCTGCTTGTGAAAACTAAGAAGGCTTCAGGAATGATGCAAGTCTTCATGTCACTCAACAGCTCAAGGCCGATGGGACAGGCACACCTGGCCTCCTGGGGTGTAAAGAAACACAGATGGCTGCAGCCTCCATTGTTCTCTGCGCATGAATTAGTTCCTTTGAAAAAATAAATAAACAAAACAACAAACCAGAACAGATATTAGTGCATTGAATTAGTTCCTTAAAAAAAACCAAAAAAACCCAACAACTAAAAGAAAAGACATATTAGTACATTGTGAAGGTAAAAGGGAGAGGGTAGCACAGCAGGTTGAGCAAAAACACAGTATAATTTTCCAAAATAAGTTAACACTATGAGTTGTCAGCAGGGAATTCTTTAAACAAACAAACAAAAAAAAATTTAAAAAAAAAGGCACTCCAAGTGGATTCTTCCTGTCTACCCAGGATTACAAAGGTGGATCTATCCCTCCTATTGTACAAATACCATCTACAAACAGATCTTTCTTGTCTCCCCAGAGATGAAATTCATTCACTGAAGACAGATAATTAATTAGCTACTTTTCACCAAGTACTCCATCTTTGTACCTCTTAGAAACCACCAGCTTTTACAAATGTTCAGTGATACAAAAGGGTGAGAAAAGAGCTGGATAATCGCAGTTCTTTCCCACCTGTTTAATTTAAAGCTGAGAAGAGTCATTAGCAGAAGCAGTTCCAACAAGATCACCACAATGTCACACTTATTTTTTCATGTGATGGGGATGGAATGTGTAGGGGAAAGTAAGGACCAACACATAAATGAGTGCCTCTCTCCATCTGCTGGAACCAAGGATTTAGGTATTCTAAGAATGTTACCATACACAAAAAAGAAATTCTCAAAGATCAGTCTCAACCAGGATTCTTTTAATTTTCCCTATTTTAGGGCATACGTATTTCAGACTGATGCCATTTCTCCGTTGTGACTCTTCTCCGTAATTTTAACAGCTGACTAATGAATCTGTTTATTGTTATGCCCAAATTGTGGTGTTTCAGGTACCTGGAAAATCTGTGGTGCACTGAAGCCAGTAGGTCCTGTGACATACTTGCTGCACAGTGCAGCAGAGGACCTCAAATACCAGCTCCACCTTTCAGAGATGCAATGGAAGGACATGGAGATCCAGCTGCTGATACTTTGCAAGTTTTAGTTGTTGAGATTTAGATACAACTGAGGTGTTAAGAGTTAATATATAAGTGCCACATGCTTTGGGGCAGCGTTGCAATGGTGACTGACTGTGCCTATACCACCCAAAAGTGAAAAGCATTCTGCTGACATCATGGGACTTTGCTCTGGAAGGAAAGAGCAGCAGGGAATAGAGCATTTCTGGGAGAATAATGATTCCTGTAGCACAGAGCAATAAAATCGTCATAAAAATTCAAAGAGTGTAGTGAAAGCTCTGGAATATTTACATCACTAAAAACGGGAAGCAACTTCTTTTGCAACACTGCATTTCCCCAACTTTAGAAACAATAGGTGTCATTTTCCTTTCAAACACATCAGATCACAGTTATTCCAATTACAAGTGATCAACAGCTGCTTAATGAAAGCAAGGCCATATAAAGACTCCTACAGACCCATGCTATGTTGCCCATGCTTACCAAATGCCTTGGTGACACTCGTTGCCTTAAGGCCCATTAAATCTGGCAGCTGATCAATAATGATGTCTCTGCTGGCCTTTATCTTGTGCACTCTTTCGATGCTTCGTCTCTGCCAGTCAGTCCAGTAGATGTAGTCTCCCAGCAGTGTGAACCCAAATATGTGTGGAAGCTTGTCTTCTAAGAGGGTTTTCCTCATTGTTCCATCAACGTTTATGACCTGCAGGATGCCCAAAAAAAAAAAAAAGGAAAAAATAATCTTCTCTAATGGGGTACAATTAAAATAGCAATATCAATGGGGTTTTGAATAGCTACTGCTATGCAAGTAGCTCTTAATATTCCCAGCATGTCTTTTCCATGATCTGCGACTGAGATTTTAAATAGCCTCCTCTTTGCTATTATTTGGAAATTGTTTATTCAGACTCATATTAAACCTATACCTTGAAGGTGATTATGCTCCCTTCACCGTGCAGTGCTTCTATTTTTTTGTGATTTAAGGATCTAACTTTTAAATTTCTAAGTGTTTGAGCAAGAATTGTTTTTAATTACAAATATGTGTAATTCTATTGTAGTGTAATATTAAACCATTAAATGCCTAAATGCTGTCAGTCAAAATCAACCCTCACTTTTACCACAATTTTAATAGAAATGTAAGGCACTGTTCATATACAATAAACAGCAGAAGCACGTAAAATTTTTTTTAACCAATGACAATTACCACATCTTTCTAAACTAGCATGTGAATTTCAGTATGTTCATGCACACATTTCAGTAAGCTTATTTTAAATCCAAATAAATTTAAGAATGAAATCTCCACTTTAAAACCTTACAATACTCTACAGATTTGTGAAAAAAATATGCATTTTGATTTGATTGGCCATAAATGAAAGTAATTGCCCCCAGCCTGTTTTGCCTATGACAAATAAGTGCCTATAACTGCTGAGTGATCTCTCCCTGTCCTTATCTTGATCCACAAGCCTTTCATTGCATTTTCTCTCCCCTGTCCTGCTGGGGAGTGGCGTGACAAAGCTGCTTGCTTAGGTGGGCACCTGGCATCCAGCTGAGGCCAACCCACACGAGGGACATGCAGTGGATTTTCCAGCTACCACCAGCCAAACAGCAGAGGTGAGCAGTGAGCTACTGCTACAACTGCACCCACCTATGCCCTGCACAAAAATCATCCCTGTAACAGCCCTGAATTTGAACAGAGGCTAAAATGTACACCTCTGGACTCCTTCCAGACAAAAAGCCTCCTGCTGGAGACAGTTAAAAATAACACTGGCATTCCTGCAAACTAACTTTCAAGGGAGCTTTGTATCTGCCCATCAACTTACTTGATGGAATAGCAGAGACTGAAGATTAATATCTTTTTATTCTGTTAAGCTAAATAGAGTACATTAAAAAAAAAAAAAAAAGCTGTATTGGTGGTTAAAAGCCAAATGGTTCTGCAATTATGTCATTACATCATGTCCAGGCAAACCCCAAATGCTCACTTATTTAGAACACTATCAGTCCCACAGGCAATACTGCAGGTTCAAAAGTTCGTCACACATACTCAGGTGTTGGAGCCAAACTGGTGCCACACTTAGTAAACAGGACAGCATTTCCCTCACAACAGTGCAACAGCAGGAGGAGGATGAAGCTTCCACATTTCCAGCTACTTTTACAGAAGTGGACAGTAGAAGTATAATTCAAATACCAGAGCTGCTGACTAACATGTACAAGTGAAGATTGAATCCAAGGATGCAGACACATTTATTGAAACCCATGCACATCTGTGGATGCTGCAGACAACACCAAGCTGTGGAACTTCAGGAATCTCATGAGGTTCAACAAGGCCAAGTGCAAGATGCTGCACCTGGGTCAGGGCAAACCCTGGTATTGATACAGGCTGGGGTACAATGGGATCGAAAGCAGCCCTGCTGAAGATGTGGGCATGCTGGTGGGTGAAAAAATCTCCATAGGCCAGCCACGTGTGCTCACGGCCTGGGAAGTCACTCATACCCTGGGCTGGATCAAAGCAGCATGGCCAGCAGTGGACAGAGGTGATTCTCCCCCTCTGCTCTGCTCTGGGGAGGCTCCACCTGAGTGCTGCAGCCAGCCCGGGGGTCCCAGAACAGGAGAGACGGAGAGCCAGCCCAGAAGAGGGCCACAGAAATCATCAGGAGGCTGCAAGACTTCTGCTATGAAGAAAGGCTGAGTGAGTTGGTGTTGCTCAGCCTGGGGAAGAGAAGAGAGACCTTAATGGTGAGACTGTACTGCAGCACTCCCAAATTACACACTATTCGACATAGTGGGAAAGGAGGTCCAAAATGTGGAATCAGACAGCAATAAAATGTTTAATAGCTTATATTTTGGCTAAGAAAATGAGGGAATAAATGTTTGCTGTCTCCCTCTCCCAAACATTCCTCTCCAATACTACAGGCAGAACACCTACAAATCCAAGCAGGCTTCCCTTGGATGCAGAAAGGGCCGCTCTGACTTGGAGGATTTTTCTGTGCTGAGAGCAATCAAGCCCTCTAAGTGGTAGTTAGCTCAGGGCAACAAGCAGGAAATGCTAATTCTCTCCCTGAGATGATCTTTAGTAGGAGCCAGGGCAAAGCTTAAACAGGGAGGTGTCACATGCAGGTCAATACAGGTACATGTACACAGTCTTTATTCCAAATTTTGCTGCCATCCACCTTCCCAGAGATCCAGCTCCATTCTAGCATACCAAAAAAAACCACAAGGATTCAAAGTAAAAATCTACAAACAGGCCTCACAATAGGCCAAAAGCACAACTCCTGCTATTCAATCAGTACTTCCCATTTCTTCAAAGGGACTGGAATAATCCTGTAAGATCTTTACCGTCTCCTTTCCAAATTCAAATAGCTTCTCAACTCAACAGACCACTACAAGTCTGTGGAAATAGCTCATGTAAGTATTTACCATGTTGTTCTTCTGCTGGTGATATTGGGACTGCAAGAACCTTTGTAATGTACACGTACAACATGGAGGAAAGACAAGAAAGATAATAAAATACCATATTAACTCATCTTTTCATATCTGACATCTAAGATCTGCTGCCTGCATACAAAAGGGAAGACTTTAAGGTGCAATCCTTATAATTTAGCATAAATTGACTAGAATAGGCTTTACTCTACTCAGGGTTTTCTTTCCTTCTCTGTAAGTGATAAATGGATCTCAAAGGATAAATGAAACACTAAATGTGTTGTTCTTTACACATGAAACACTGAAAGCTCCCCTTGAACAGCGTCACACACTGAAAGCCCCTGATTAGTCTCAAGACTTCAATGACAAATGTCCTAATGAGGCCCTGCCAAGCTCAGCTAAAATCAGTTGTGGGCAAAGTGAAATCAACATCAAACGCCTTAATGAACTGAATTACACAAAACCACAAGAAGGTGGTAAGGTGTGATTTTTTTTTTTAGATGCTGCTGCAATGTATGCAAAATGATTTTACAAATATTTCTAAATATAACACTCAAAAGCTCTTGGCTCTTTGAAGAAGATTAAAGTAAAACAATGCAATTAAATTCTACACATCAGCATGATTCATGTAGTCAAGCTGTATTTCAGGTGCACCTATGAAAAAAAAACAGCTATTCAGCATAGATACAGGACATCTTTTGACAGAACAACAAAGAGACCTCTAAGACCTTACCCCTCTATTTCAGTCACTAAGATAAAACAAAATTTATTTGATTGCTAAAGACAAAGATGTAATCAAATGGAAATCAATTCTTGGGCTGAGCTAAATCACTACGTGAGCAGACATAGCAGGTTGGCAACAGTAAAATGACACGACTGGCACGTTCAGGAGACTCGTGGTGGGCTTGTAGCTCTGTGAGTCTGGCAGATCTTGTGGAAAGCTGCACTTTGCTGTGAGGATGCCTGAGAACTGGAACAGGCTGCTCAAGGAGGTTGTGGAGTCTCCACCACTGGAGCTATTCAAAAGTGATCTGGTCATGGCCCTGAGCACCCACCTCCAGGTGACCCTGCTTGACCAGGGCTTGGGCCAGCTGAGCTCCAGAGCTCCCTTCCAACCTCAACCCTTCTCTGAAGGGCTTCCAAGGATTTTCACCAGCAGACTCTGGAATGGCAGCTCAAGTGAACATACCCAGCCTTCACTAGCTGAAGAAGGAACTTGTGAGACACATCGGGTAGGTAGCACGGAAAAGAAAACAGGAAAGTCAGCAGGGAAAGAAAAAGACAAAGAAAAATGGAATGACATAGAAAACTCCTATGGGTACAGAAGCCTGCCCCAAAAAGAGAAGAGTGAAGCAGCTGTGAGCAGTCTATACCCCAGTCTATATTCAGCTGAGTGTAAGCCATTCATTAATATTTCCAACAGCTGAAACACAGCCACCTTTCATCAATGCTTTGGGATAAAAGGGAACTTTTTTTTTTTTTTTTTTTTTTAATGTCTGAAGGGGCTTCATGTCAGATATGAAGGCATGTATTGGCAGATACTGGCAGGCAGAGAAGGGAATAACATTCAACCAAACAGTAGCAGAACCCATATATCAAAAGAAAAGAGATGGATGGACAACAGACATATCTGGTCATTTTCCACAAAGATGGGCTGCTTGAGTCTCTTAGCAAACTTTTGCCTCCAACACTTCAGTATACTCAAGAATATGTAAAGCAGTTCCTCATCATTGTCCATAGTTCTGTCCCACTTCACAGTATTTTGGCTACCTGGTAAAAGCTGCCTCATAAACAACACAAAGGTGTCTCATAAACCCTCATCAGGTTTCTATTGCTACTACATTTCATGGATTAGTCCTACATGTACTATTGTAGCTCTTCTTTCAGACAAGTTTTGATGATGGCATAGATTTATTTCATTTTTTTCTGAATTCTTACATTGCTTGGTTGGATGCAGCCTCAAACTATCATCACCCACCTACATTCAGCGCAAGCTCCGAACAAGAGAACACAGAGAATGAATCCCTACAATACTGTGAGTGCAACACCCCTGTTGAACTGTGAATAACCATTTATTGTTTGCAAATACACATAGTGGCTCATCACTACCCTTTTCTCTCATATTCTTTTCCTTTCTTTAAGAGACATGTCTCAGTTGTCATTTTACCTTGCTGAAGACACAGCATCTCGACATCATTCTCTATGGCTACACAGATGGGCTGTATTTTCACTCATAATACAAAAGCCACTTGGAGATGCACAGCAAAGAAAATTCCAAAGAGTATGTCA